TTAAATAATATAATTGCCATTATTATTAATGATTTCTTGCCAGCGTGAGGGCAATTTGTATATCCCATTTTTGAAAAATTAAGAAAAATTTGTATTTTGTTTTATTCCAAAAACGGACAGAACTTTCCGGTAGACCTAATATATGTATCAAATACTATATATATATAGCTCTTCAGAACAATATCGGATGATTGTATTTAACCGCAATGGTGGGTAAATATGTATACATATATATGTATATCTCGTCAAGTTTCATTGTCACGGGTAAAAAGGAGGCAATTTTCGTTCACTTCAAAGGCGTTGCCACGCGAAAGCTCTCATAGCAGATATTTCAAAGACTCAAATTTTACAACACTGCGACATACAGAAGCTCTCGACGGATGGGACAACTTACTACAGAGTTACTACAGTTTTGCAATAAAATAAATAATTGAACCAAACACGCGATTACTTTGAAAATAATCCCGAGACGAATCGTGCGAAAAATATATAATAAAAAAAGTGTGTCATTGTCTCTATTAAATACGTTCGCTTTTTTTGTGCAGAGCACTTTCATATTTGTAAAAGCACAAAAAGCTTTTCTATTGTCACGAAATTTTATCTTGTTCTATTTAATAGCCGACACAGAGAAGAAATTCGTAGACAACGCAAGAAGCTCAATCTGTGACAAAGGAGAGCGATGTGTATGTGTGTCGCGTTTTCAGTGTAGCGGTAAAATATACATTCCACACACACACACACACACACACATACACAAAGTATTCATAAAATATAAAGCAATAAAATCATGTAGGACGTCATGTAGGATCGCGTATTATATTGTGTGTCGCAGTCGTTCGTGTGGTTGTTTAGATTTCAGCTCCCATCAAAGCCTTTTGGAGTGTGTCTCGATATAGAAGTTTCTTTACGAATAATCTTTCGTCAACTCGTGTGTGAGCGGATGAAAGAGGATTTGATACGAGAGTTTTGAAGAATGCCTAAGTGATTGTAAGTATTCCTATATATATACAAGTCACAATATGACATACAGTAGAACTTGAGTAATTTCGAGCATCAAAATTTCGATTCTCTTTTAGGAGCGGGTCACAGTAGGTTCTCTCACTATAGTGATCGTTTCGTTGTGATCTTAAGTGACTTGTGCACAAATTGCGCGGAATGCGTGTCTATCTTCACTCTAAGAGTCTAAGAGACAGAGAAACAAACATCCTTTCGTTTCTTTGCTACCGGTCGATCGCTGGAAGAAGAAGAAAATAATTCGAATTCTAAGAAGAATCAATATCCCATGCGTTCAAAATTACTGGAGTTCGACTGTACGGAACGAAAAATTGGAGCAGAAAAACATCGATTAATTGATAAAAAAATTAATTATTTTGATAAAAAAATTTCAGTTGAAAATTATCAAAGTGCGTTTTTGATACGGAACAATTAAACGTTGTGATTTTTCCCATTTTGTGGCAGGTTTCGGTGTTCGAAACAAAGAGATGGACAATAGTGATTATAAATTTCAAGAGGGACAGAGAGGAAGAGAGAGAAATACATATATTACATATGTAATATAAGTATAAGTACATATACATGTACATATTACATATACATATATGTATATATGTACTTATATGTATGTATATATACATATATATGTTATACACACACATATATATGTTATATATATATAGATATATATTATATATTGTATTA